GGTCTGGTGCGGCATTGACTTACCCCCATCCTCGCTTCTCGACCGGATTATGACGGATAACCTGGTCCTTCTCGGTATTTCATACTCTGCACTAACCCATTCCGCGGCACTACACGGCGCAGACCCGATCCGTACCACAGAGGTGGGTATTCTACTTAGTAGGTCAGCAAGCAAACATATGGAACATTCGATAGTAACAGTGTTTTGTCAACACCGGCCCGAATTGACTCAGCACATATCTTCCATTGTCGACGCACTTGGCCCAAGCTTCAAACGGGAATTTACTGACCACTTCTTCCCATCAATCTTTCTTGAACCACTACAGCGACTATGAGAGCCATACCATATGTTCATACATTGTATCATACATACTTGGCATTTTTGAAATAAATAATATTATCCCTACTCTTCAAGCGTAGTAAATAGCAGGGTAGTTTCCACCCTGCACTACGAACGTTTGGATTACCATTGGCCTTAATCTTCAAGCGTAGGGTTAATGAATTTGTAAATAGCAGGGTGGTTTCCACCCTGCATTACGAACGTTCGGATTAAAAGCAGGGTGGTTTCTCAATGATAGAGGTACATGTCCACAAAATCACTTAAACACGATTGATACGATTTGTAAATATCGTACACGAGGCCACATCTGTTGCTTTTCTGCCGCCTGTGTGCGATTCAAACGGTCACAAAATAGCAAAAATCACCTCCGGTGTCCGGTTCACCACTCGGTCTAAAAAAAAGTGCGAGTGTGAAAAATCCACGCAAATATAGTCGTTTTCACATTTGGCATAAAATAAAGGCATTTTCTGATTTTGTACGATAGAAAAGGCGATTTGACATTTGGCAAAAAAAAATAGTAAATATGGCACTAAAAAAAAAGAGTATTTGGAACACATCGCGCTCAAAATAAGTCTGCTAATCTCTTAGCAGAATTATATTTCATAAGTGGTTGCTTGCTGGAAGAACCAAAACCCATAATACTCTGCTGCCGCACATTCTTGTTCGCTTGCTTCTCCAGTTTGTCTAGTGACTAACTTGCTAATATCATAATACCACTCTTTAGCGTGATTTTTTTTCGTCATAAATAATGGCGTTATTAGCGTTGTTACGGCTCCAAACATACGTCCTATCGATATCACAATATCTACAGGTGGCCTATTGTAGTCATTATTGTCTACTTTAAACTTTGTAGCCGCGAAATCGAGTTTTTGTATCTTAGTCAACCCTCGGTACAATTTCAAACAACTGTACTATGACCCGCTTACAGCGTCAACATTGATGAGTTCCTTGTACACTTTGGACGTCGATTGCACTTTCTGTGTGCTTGACTGCACATTATCAGAGCCCGCCGTGTCCTTTCCAGTCGGTGTGCTGCTGACTGTCTCTGTAGCTGTCCTTCCCTCAGGATCCTCATTAGTTGCCGCCAAACTAATCTACAATCCGACTGACAATGTATCTAACTATAGAAACGAAATATATTTACACTCTGATTACTGTACTAATTGATACATACTAAATATATGATTTTAGTCACCATGTGAGCGAAAATAAGATAAAATAAGATATTGTAGAAATACGGCCTCCGGTCAGTCTAAAATATCAAGATCAATTGAGATAATACATTGGTTTTTATTTGTATTTTAAATAATTTAATACAAGCTCTTTTTCCAATATTTCCAAA